AAAGCTTCTTCCGTGGCAGAAGAGACACCTGCTGTATGTGTGCCAATGGGGTTCATGTGTCACCAGTAGCTTCTCCTACAAAAATGTCCCCCTGCATGTGCACACGCACGCACACACACACACACACACACAGATGGAAACACTGGCATTCATTCTCACCCGAGAACTTAGTGGCTCCATGAACACAGATACTTGTTGAATGGAGCATCCAGGCAGAGGGTGGGTACACGTCAGCACTTCAGCTTGTGGGTCCCTGAGGAATGAGACTCAGGGAGATATGATAATCAGTTCTATACCAGAAGACATTTAAAACGTGGTGCATTTGGGCTCACAAAAGCCTGCTCAGGGCAATACTAGGGAGAGACCAAGACAGACAGCCTTGGGTTTGTCACTTGATTTGGGTCTGGGGGCACCTGGTCAACATCTGCTGTTTCTCCTCCTTTCTGGCCCAGCTCACCACAGAGTCATTGGAGAAAGCTGGCATTCCAAGCTGTTCTAGAGAGAGTGCCTGTGGAGCCGTGAATACCTGCCACCAAGTGAGAGAACAGAGATGTGTGAACATCTAGGAACAGATTTGGCTCCATAGCCCATCAACAATAACAAAGCTCCTTAGTTCCAGTTGTCTCCAATGCCAACACCTGCCTGCAGTTTTAGTGGGTGTCACACAGAGGGGCAGGGAACAGGGAGACCAACGGGGTTTCAGAGGACTCACAGGAAAATGGTTTCTATGTTCTTGGCTTTCTCCTGATTTCCAATAGAAAGGCCCAGGTCATGTCTCTCTTTGGCAACTGTCAGCTCTGACCCTGAGCAGCACAGGCCATGTTGGCTCCCACATCACATGACTGCTGTGACCTGGAGCCACACTGCTAGGTGAACTAGAATCAGGGTGAGAGAGGATGATATGGGTGGATACTTGATGTAGACAGCACCTAAGGCTCTGAGCAAGGCACCCACCCTCCTCAAGAAATGTCCAGCCTCCAGAGAGCTACTTGCTGGGCTGGTGACGGCAGCCTGTTTCAGTCACACTCACCCTGCTGAAATCTTACACCCAAAATGTACACAGCATGGACACCCTGATTTCAACCTAAAACCCCAATTTACCTAACCAACTCAGTCCAGGGATCTGGCTTCCATTTACACTGATGGCATCTTACATGGACAGTGACAAAGTCTGACCAAGTCAAAAGTGAAAAAGCTGCCTTCCAAACATTTAGGCTCACATTCTGGGACTAAAATTATTAAGACTATTACAGGACTAGGGGAGATCCATTTCCCTTCTCTATACCAAGGTTTCCCTGAGAAATACATTGAAACCTGTAGGTTTGCTCCAAAGTAAAATGAACCCACATGTTGAATTGTGAAGCTCCATAAAGAAACGCAGTCCTTAAGGATGCACACCACCTGCCTGCAGAACACCATGTCCAGCATCCCCACTTGTACCCTGTGACAGGATCGCTCATGATGTCCAGACACACATGAGCCTTCTCTCCTGGCACATTCTGCATCCATTTTGACAGGCGTCAAGGACACATTTTACATAGACCAGGCTGTGCATTCACAGAATTGATTCACATTCATGCCTCGTTAGAATAACAACTGTGTTGAGAGTTATTTTGTTAGCATCCTAATCTTTAGCACCTTGGAAGAGTTTCAGTGTCAGAGAGTGTGTATGTGCATGTTTGTGTGTGTGTTTATGTGTGTTGTATGTATATATGTCTGTGTGTTTATGTGCATTTTATATGTGGGTATATGTATTTGTGTATATTCGTGTGGGGTTTATATGTATGTGGAGGATATTTGTGTATATATGTGGGTGTTTGTGTGTATATGTGTATGTATATGTGTGGTGTTTGTGTGTGTTTGCATGTGTGTTTATGTATTTGTGTATATTCATATTATGCATTTTGCACATGTGTGTATTTGTATGTAAATATGTGTGTTATTTGTGTTTATGTGTTTATGTGTATTTGTATGTGTGTATATGTGTGTTTGTGGGAATGTTTATGTGTATGGATGTGTGAGTGAGCATGTGTGTAAAGACTTGCCCAATGCATTGTCTAGTTCTAAGTCTAAATAAGCTCTGAAAAATAAAACCTCAAGAGCGTTCTATTCATTTTGTTTAATTTTTCTTATGGCAACTCCTGAGGTCCACAAGGGAAATGTGGCTGGTCCCCCAATAGCAGTACATGTTGTGAGTCTTCCCAGTGTAGCAGGGATAACGCCACCAGAAATAATTGGCTCCGAATGATACCAGTGAAAACAACAGTCAAAATCCTAATGATGCCAAAGTAATTAGACTGAGACGTGAAAAATTATTGGCCAGATAGAAATGCCAACAGTCTTCACTGACCACAGCTCATGTCCACCTGTCTCCACTGTGATGTACTCTGCAGAGGGCAGTCTAGAAAAACACAGACAGAGGCATCTGCTGAGGGCCCAATCTCTACCTGTATCTCTTACTAAGGATGTGGCTTGTCCCCTGAGCCTGCTCCCTTCTTGAAAACTCAGGCTTCAGAAGGCCCCATGAGGTTGGTACACAACGGTGACTTAACAGTGCAATTCATCAGCTTAGAGTCTGACACATAATAAATAGCAGTGAATGTTCTTCTTGCCAAATGTGGGGTGATATTAGAGAAACAAAGTCACTATATCTGTTGCCTTACAACCCGGAGAAGAAGAAGGCATTCTACCAGAGCGTCATAGTGTTCAGATCATCCCCTGGGCTCGTGTGTGTGTGTGTGTGTGTGTGTGTGTGTGTGTGTGTGTGTGTGGTGTGGTATGTGTGGTGTGTGTGTGTAAGAGAAAAAGAGAGAGACAGACAGAGAGAAACAGAGAGACAGAGGGACAGAGAGAGACAGACACAGAGAAAGACAAAAAGAGAGAGAGACAGAGAGAGAGAAAGAGAGAGAGACAGAGAGAGAGAAAGAGAGAGAGACAGAGAGAGAGAAAGAGAGAGAGACAGAGAGAGAGAAAGAGAGAGAGACAGAGAGAGAGAAAGAGAGAGAGACAGAGAGAGAGAAAGAGAGAGAGACAGAGAGAGAGAAAGAGAGAGAGACAGAGAGAGAGAAAGAGAGAGAGACAGAGAGAGAGAAAGAGAGAGAGACAGAGAGAGAGAAAGAGAGAGAGACAGAGAGAGAGAAAGAGAGAGAGACAGAGAGAGAGAAACAGAGAGACAGAGGGACAGAGAGAGACAGACACAGAGAAAGACAAAAAGAGAGAGAGACAGAGACAGACAGAGACAGAGAGAGGGGGAAAAGGGCCACTCAGAGGGATAGACAGTCTTGAACAGCTCAGATAACAGAAGCATTATGCTGGGCTTGAGCGTCAACTCTACTATTAATCAGGTGATAATCAAGAATGGTCACTCAACACCTGTGAATGAATTTCCTCAGAGAATTGTGAAAGAATTGGATATATTTATACACTGATAGTGTTTACACACTAACTTCTCAGTATTAGTCATCCATGTAGATCCAAGGTCAGCAAAGAAAGGCCCCTGCCTATTTCTGAAGTATTATAGGAACCCTCCAGCTTCAGTGCTTATGGAACTAGACACCATGAGACTGCATGAGGACTGCTGTTCTTACGCCATGTGGGACACTGGAGTTACTGAAACGGTGACCATAACTCCAGAAACTACAATAGCCACTCACATAAAGCTTTGCTGATCCCTGTTCTAAAGGCATCATACCTTCCATTTCCATCCTCTAGTGATTCAGGATGCAGCATGCAGCCCTGAGTTAACCATAGGAACTTGCTGTCTGGTCTGGTCCCCTAAGCCAAGGACTGCTAAGGACTCTATACTAGTTTACGTCATGTTGCTGTGATAAAATACCCTGACAAAAACAACTTAAGGGAGAGAAGGGTTTATTTCTGCTTATGCTTCAAGGAGGATGCGTCATCACAGTGTTCCAGGAAGACTGGCAATAGGCAGGAAAGGCCTACGGCACAGGAGCAGGAGTGGTTGATCACGTTACACCCGCACTCAGGAAGCAGCAAGAAATGTGTGCATGCATGCCCGGTACTCAGCTAGATTTCTGAGAGTCCAGAGCTCCAAACCAGAGAGGGGTGTGCCCTACTTTCAGCATGGGTCTTCCTACAGCAATGAAGGCAGTCAAGGCATAGTCAGGCATAGACATGCAGACAGGCCAGCGGGACTTCCCCAACCTTCACTGAGACTCTCCTTCCATGTAATTCTAGGTTTTGTCAAGTTGGTATACCGGTGGCTGAGTAGAGGCTGACAAATATGGGCCTCTCACTGTGTCAGGCACATGTCCCCACAGGGAACCTGAGCCACAAGAGCAGAAGCCCCTCAGACCCCTTTCCATCTTCCGGTCTTTGGAATAAGGAACTGAAGCTCCAGGCCTTAAACTTTACTAATTAGTAAGCTTAATTAGCACATTAACACTTACCACTGGAATTTTTCACTTTTAATCATCTTTTATGCTCTTACTCCAATTAATCGCATTAGAAAATGGTGAATCCAAACTTCAAAGAACAAAGTGTCGATTTTTGAAGTGTGTATTTGATCACAGGATTGTCTCAGACAGTTCAACATCTGGAAAAGGGGTCGGAATATTATGTAGTCTTTTATGTTTGTGTGAAATAGCAATATAGATCAATATATTTGTATAAGTCAATGTGATATGTTCATCTATAGTTATATACATCTATCTATCTACATATATACGTTGTGTCATGATGTTTCTAGTTGACATCTGGAATAGCCTTCAATAGATATGCCCATATTTCTTTCCCTTCACTTGGTCCCTGGGCACGATCAGTACACATTAAAAAGTAGCCATTTGCCATTTTCCTTTCCCTTAGATCCTAAGCTTGAGATTTTCCTAGAGTCTCCTTGAATAATCTCTCTGTATCATAGAGTGAGTTAGAAGCTGCCTTTAGAAGCCAGGCTGCCAAGTTGACAGCCTGGTGACCAGGCCAGGACCATGGCTCACACCAGGCCTCCCATTCCTCACCATGCACGGCTGACAGCTGTCTTAGTTATTTTTGTCTTGCTGTGATAAATACTCTGATAAAAGCAGCTTAAGGAAGGGTTTATTTTAGCTGACATTCAGTCCATTATAGTGGGGGTTGCATGGCAGCAGGTGCTTGAGGTAGCTGGTCATATCCCATCCCATATCCATGCAGTCAAGAAGCAGAGACAAGGTTGGTGCTCAGCTGGCTTCCTTCTTTTTATACAGTCCAGGAGTCCAGTCCAAGGAATGGGGCTGCCTGCCACTAAAGTGAGCATTTCCACTTCAGTTAATCTGAAAAAAAAAAAAAAAAAAAAAAAAAAAAAAACACCTCACTAACATGCCCAGAGGCTCGCCTAATCTAGATAATCACTCACAGGTGTCCCCAGGTGAGTCTAGATTGTCAAGATAACAACCAGTGTTAACCATCATAACAGCCACCCTTTTCCACTGGACAACTGTCCAGCATAGTGTCCCCTGTAGAAGGATTGTTGACCTCCATCTTTAAGTCCCCAGCACAGGCCCAACTGGGCTGGGATGACAGGTTCTTGTATGAGAACACTGAGTAGGATGAAGTCTGAAGCTGGGAACTGAGGTGGGGCAACTCAGTGCTTTATTTTCCAATCACAGCATTTGACAGCAAACAATGGTTATGAGTAATTGCTTTGGGACAGCAGATACTAAGGGGATCTGGTGGGGTAGAGGAAGGATCATCCTGAGTGTAGAAGCTAAGGAAAACCCAAACCCACAGGCAACACCCAAATCCCAGTCCCCCAAGCTCTGTGCACCCAGTCCTGAGTCAGACCCTCCTCTGACCAGCAGGTCCTGTTGCTTTCTCCACACTCCATACCACAGCTCTTATGGTCACCTGGCATCCATCTCTCTCCCTCACAGCCTGGCTTATTTGACAGCAACCATGTTTTATGATAATTACATAGATCCTCCTCACTGCAAAATTTTAGGTGACTTACAGAATGCCTCCAGCTTGAGAACTCTCTAAGTAATGGAAGTGAAGGAAGACAGGGAAACAAGATGCCTGGGTGACCTCTGGGAACAAGTTCATCTGGAGAGGAACAATAGGAAGTTGTCAATACTTGATCCTTCTAAGTGTTTTCTTTTTTTTAACTTTCAAAAAATGTTTTATCTCAGATCTGCTTGCCTCTGCTGGAACTAAAGGTATGCATGCACCACCACGCCCAGCTCATGAGCTTTTTGAGATAGCACATTCTTTCCTCAGACCTTATCTCAGTCTGAGTTGAGTCATGATATGGCATAAGATCAGGAATCAGGGCTTATCATCCCTACAAGGAAAACCGTATTTGTAGAAGATTGAAGTCTGAAGGCACATTCATAGAAATCACTTGCTAGTCTGAAGATTTTTACTTTGAGAGAGACTCAAAGTATTGCTGGGCATGGTGGCACATGCCTTTAATCCCAGCACTTGGGAGACAGAGGCAGGTGGATGTCTGGGAGTTTGAGGCCGGCCTGGTCTATATAGTGAGTTCCAGGCCAGCTGGAGCTACAGAGAGACCTTGTCTCAAAAACACCAAAAAAATAAAAATAAAAACATTTTATTTTATGTGTATGAGTGTTATGCCTGCATGTATGTAAGTGTACCCATGTCGTGCAGTGCCTGTGGAGTCCAGAAGAGGGGGTTGGATCCCCTGGTACTGGAGTTACTGATTGTTGTTAGCCACCATGTAGGTGCTTGGATTTGAACCTGGGTCTTCTGCAAGAGCAGTCAGGTGCTTTTAACTGATGGGCCCCTTAGCATGGTATTTTCATAAGATCCAATATCATTCTTCATGTTTTTATAAACTGAAGTTCCCAGAGACTGACTGTGGAAGGACATCGGCTGTGGGGTGATATCAACTCTTGGGACACATCAACTCTGGGGGCACATCAGCTCTGGGGTGGCATCAGCTCTGTGGGCACATTGACTCAGGGGTGACAACCCTCTGAAAGGTGACATGGACTAAGAGACATGAAGACAATGACTCAGCCATGTGACTGCTAGAAAAAGAAAATTCTAGGGACCAACAAAAACCAAGGTGTAAACTGAGAGGGCCCTTGAAGGACAGAGAGGAGCTCTGAGCATTAAGGGACAGAAGCCACATGGGGAGGAATGAGGTGGATATAGTGGGGACCAGAGAGAGGGAGATCCTGAAGAGCTCACACTGACCAAAGGCCTGCCAATGAAGGGAGGGTCTGAGGCGGAGAGGGACAGGCTCTCAGTAGTGTTATAGAAAGCTGATGTGGGGACAGCAGTAGCTAGGCAGGCCAGTCCTGGTCCTGACAGGATTAAGTCCAGGTGTGGCAAGCAAGGGACAGGGCATGGATGGATCCCAGCAGCTTTGGGTCACAGAGTAAAGGGAATCTGTTGGTGGTATGCAGTTGCAGGGGGCAGGGGGGAAAGCAGGGTCACCCAAAGTGCCACCTCATCCCTGGTTTCTGATTTGAGCACCTGTGAGTTGGGGGTACTGTGTTGGCCAGATGTGCTTGGCAGTATAACTTCAGACCCTGTTTATCTGCGCATGTCACCATGTGCTATTCCACAAGTTGGATAGCTTGTTAATCTCTCTGAATCCTATCTCTCCGGGATAACAATACAAGCTCTATTGTGGGAACAAGTTTGAAGAAATGGAAAAGTCACAAACGCTGCCCACTATACAGATATGCCCAAGAAACACTCTGTCAACCTTGGATTTTGGTATAACCTGAAGCTTTCAGAATGGCCAGCCCACACCTGGGCAAAGCATCCTGCTCCTTGTCAGAATCACAGCTGCTGAAGGGAGGCCAGAAGTCCCTGGGAGTTAGACACACCTGGGCATGCTCAGCAAAGGGTGGCATGGGCTTGCCTCCTCCTGATTGCACTAGGGGCTGAGTACATCCCCAGAGAGTCCTTGCAAAGGGAAGAGAAAGGCTTACACAGCACTGTAACTTAAAGATGACTCCAGGGACCAGTCTCAGGCATCAAAACATTAAAATGTAAGTCTTATGTCATAAAGAAAACTCTAAGAAAAAAATAATCTCTTCCATGGAAGTCTGTAAGATCTAGACGAGCCCCAACTCTGTCAGACATCCCCTGCCAAAGCCCCTGAGTGTCCAAGGGACACTCGTCTACACGGCAGAGATGCCGGACCTTGACCAGGCTTAGCATACAGGGGCTGGGCACGTCCAGCAGAATCTAGGTGAAGGAACAGGGTTGGCCTGCAAGGCACAGAATACAAGATTAACCAGAGTAATTGGAGGATACCCCAAGTAGGCGGGGGGGGGGGGGGGGGAATCCACAGCACTGTGGGGTGGGGAAGCAGCCAGCAACAACTGCATGTTTCCTTGGGGTCCTGTTAGTTCAGGAAGACACCCTTGAGAAATCTCAGGGATGCCCAGCAGGGAGGAGAACTCCACCAGCAAGAGGTGGGGCTGGCCTGCCCTGAGGCCCCAGACAACAGCTGGCTGTGATCAGATTTCACCCTAAGCCAGGAGCCCTCCAAAAGGTGCTCACTGGGGCCTGCTCCAGCCCCCTGGGGCCTTGTGTCACCTCTCCTGGTGAGTTCCAAAGGGGGCTTCCCTCCCCATCCCTCCCCTCTGCCTGTACTAAGTTCCTGATGCTTTTGTTAGTTGTCACTGTTCACATTCAGGATTCCTCATGGAATCCCCAGAACAAAATAAGAGATGCACCCACAGCTCTGCAGAAGTCCAATGCAAAGGCTTCCCTCTCTAGAGATCCTAACACAAAGGTTCATTAAAGTTCTATCATGAAGAAGCTGTGCATGCATGTGCCCACCTGTGTGTTCAGGTGGGAGGGGGCGCACATACAAATGAATGCGAGCTGAAGCCTCAGGCGTCACTCCTCAGCCTCCGTCCACCTGGTTTTGTTTTGTTTTGTTTTGTTTTTTAGAGACAGGTTTTGTCAATGACTTGGAACTCAGACTCACCAAGCAGGCTAAGCTGGCAGACCCAAATACCCTAGGAATATTCCTGTTCCTACCTCCCCAGCACTAAAATTACAAGCATGCACTACCACACCCAGCTTTGTAAGTGGATTCTGGGGATAGAATTCAGGTCCTTATACCTGCAAGCACATTACCAACTGAACTTTCTCTCCAGTCCCACAGAAGCTGTATTTAAAATTTTTTTGATTTATTTGTTTATGTGTACAAGTAGTGTTTGGGGGTTTTTGTTTGTTTGTTTGTTGTTTTTTCCACGTAAGTGTACCCATGTGTGCAATGGCCACAGAGGCCAGAAGAGGGCATCAGATCCCTTGGAACTGGAGTTACTAAAAGTTGTTAGCACCATATTGGTGCTGGGAACCAGACCCAAATCCTCTGTAAGAACAGCCAGTGCTCTTATTCACTGAGCCATTTCTCCAGCCTTTAAAGATGCTATTTTTTAACCAAATTTAAGTGTTGATCATTATTCTGGTTTGAATAGAGGACTTTTAAAACAAGTCCTAAAGAGTTGTCCCATTGAAATACCTCAGCCAGACTTACAGTCTGCAGAATCTGACTGGCCCATGTGCACACTGGATCCCCATGTACATACTGGCTCACCATGTACACACGTGACCTTTACCTGACCCCTTCTCATCACTGTCAATATAGCATTGAGAAGGTCTTGGTGCCTGTCAGTGCCCCTGCAGCACATTCTCCTGAAACTCCCAAAGAAGGAAGCTTATAAGCTGATCCTTGCTGGAGGCAGAAAATAAAGATAAAAATATAAAAAGAAAACAAATTTCCTGTGACCCCAGCATCCCCAAGTTACCACAGATCTACTGAGCCTCCATCTGTCTCTCTACATTGCAAGAAATAGGAAGTGTCAGGCAGACCAGAGCTGGAGACCATGCAGATAGGTGTGTGCACAGTTCCCTACAGTGCTAATTCTCAGAAAAATTCTTCTCAATCTGGAGATAAGCCCAAAGATCAGGAGCTTAGGGCTCTGATGCCAGGACCTAAGAAGACTGAGCTGCCCAGGGCCACCTCAGATTCTCTTACTCAGTATGGCTGTCCTGAAGGCTTAGAGCTCTGTGGTCAGAGATCAATTTTCTCTGGCCACATACACAGTGTTATAGAGAGCCTTTATGGAAAGACAACCAAGCAGACACAAAGCAGCCAGCAAGGGAGACAAAACAGCTTGGAAGCCATCTGTCCAAGAGAGTCCTGTCGCCTCTCTCAACCCCTACCCAGGTCTGACCGGCCTGTACTTGCTGCCTCTGGGGCCTTTGTTCATGCTTGAGTCAATTCAAGCTGTTTTTAATTTCCTTTTTTTATTGATTTATCTATTTTTATTTAATT